TGTGTGACTGCTCTGGTGATCCTGCTCTGCAGGGGTTGCACTGGGGGAGCTTTCCAGGTCCCTTCCAACCCCTGTCATTCTGGGATTCTGTGACCCAGCTTTGGCCACATTTCACATAAAAACTTGGAAATTCAATTCCTCCTCATTGACGCTGCCAAAGCCAGGCTCCACCAGCCCCTGTTTTTAGGGTACACACAGCCCTGATGCTGAGCGCACCAGGATTAACCCCACAGAGCCGCTTTTCCCTCCGTCAGCTGAAAAGCTGCCGCGTTTCGGGAGTGCAGAGTCATGGTTGAACCACCTCCGCTTTTCCCAGCGCCCCGGTGCCGGCCGTTTCGCAACAGAGAGCGGCTCTGCCTGCGTGTCCCTGCCTGCAATTAATAACGCAACCTCTAACGAGGGGACAGAGCTGTCCCCGCTCCTTCTCTGTCTTAAACGCAGATACGCAGGGTCTAAGAGCAGGTTTGGGTGTTACACAGGGGTTGGGATGGGGAAGTGGGAAATCTGGGTGCTTTTTCCTGCCCGAAACTTGTGGTGAATCACAAACGCCCTTATTTCACCTCCCAAATCCCTGGGGAGCAGCACTGGGTGCGTGATGGGGTGATGGGAAGGCAACGAGCGCCAAGGTGGAAGATGCTGCGGGTTGACCGAGCATGAATCCCTCACCCCCCAGCCCTTGCACTCTGTGTTCATTAATTTTGGAGCTCCGTGACCTCGTTACGGCTGCGGGAAAAGCCAAGGGCAATTTCAGGCTGAGGCCAACTGGAGTTTGCAACTCTCAGTTTGCAGCATGGGGACATTTGGGTGGCATGGGGACATTTGGGTGGCAAGGAGACACCTCTGTGACCACCCCCCAGCCCTTTAAACACCGGTTCCTCTCCCCTCCCGTTGCAGAGACGTGCGCTGTGAACAACGGGGGCTGCGACAGCAAATGTCACGACGCGGCCACGGGCGTGCACTGCAGCTGCCCCATGGGCTTCATGCTCCAGCCCGACAGGAAGACGTGCAAAGGTAGGAGGGTGCGAGCGGTGCCCACCCTTGGGTGCCCCAAACACCCCCTTGTTGTGTCCTTGATGCTCAGTTTTAGCTCAGCTTCCCCTGGGATGCCCACAGGGAGGGGGAAAGGGGCGTCAGATTGAGTTGGAGGTGATGGTGTGGCACTTGTGGGGCTGGAAGGTGCCATCCCTGCCTCAGTTTCCCCATGGATACCTGCACCTGCTCTGGGAATTTGGGATGCGTGAGTCCCTGTGTGGTTCACCATCCAGCTGGGTCCAAGCACCGTGTCCAGGAGAGGACCCCTTGGGATCCCACCAACACCTCCATTCCCCTCCCTCTGCCAGGGGGGCAGTCCAGACCGATCACCCCAAACCTGTCCCAACCCCAGGCGAGGGGACCCCACAACCCCAGAGCAGCGCCTGCGTTTTGTCTTTCAGCAGCTCCAGGAACTTGACCCTGCTTGAAAGCAAAGCCCGTCCCGCTGTGCTCTGCCTCTCTACCTGCTTCCAGACACTCCCTGCCCCCTCTTATTTTAGCAGAGCATCCCCCCCTCACCCCTTGATTCTGCGTTTTCCAGCGACGTGCAATAACCCGGAGCCACGTCCGCGGTGTCTGGGGGTTTTATGGTGGCTGTGGGCTGCTTTGTGGATCGTAAAAAGAAAAACCCCAGCCCCAAAAAGGCAGAGTGGCTTCCCTGGCACTGGGGGATGGAGAGACAGGGAAATCAGCTGCCCCTTCCATTTGACAGCAGTAAATATTGTGATTAGTAGAAAAAGGGGAAATCCCAGCCCCAAGATCCCAGCCTTTTTCCAGGTCCTTGGGGTTCTTCGCAGTTATCGAGAGTGATCACTTTTAGCTTTGATTAGGGCAGGAAAAAGATGGTGAGCAGAGAGGTGAGGGTTGAAACGTATTTATTTTGTCCAGCAGCTCTGTTTGAAGGAGGTGGTTATCCCTCCTGGCTTGGTCTTTCTTTCTGCTGCTCCTGGTCCCCAAAAGTAGCTCCTGGTCCCCAGAGGTTTCTGGTCCCCACAAGTAACTCCTGATACCCAAAATCAGCCCCCAGCCCCAATCTGGGTCCCTGCTCTGGTGCTTGCTCTCACCTATGAGATTCTTTTGGAGACCCTGGCTCCTGGTCCTGCTCTGGGGAATGCTGAGACCTGCAGAAATTAAAGGTTTTGCTCAACTTCCAAAGGGAAAAAACCCTTTCCAAGGGGAAAAAAACCCTTCCAAGAGGATAAAACCCTTCCAAGGGGATAAAAACCCCTTCCAAGGGGGGATGAAACCCTTTCCAAGGGGATAAAAACCCTTTCCGAGGGGATAAAACCCCTTCCAAGGGGATAAAACCAGCATCCACATTTCCCTGGTGACCCAAAATTTGCTGGCTCCTCGTGGGGATGGGGTCCAGAGGGGAGGACCCTTGGCTCTCCCAGCCGGGCTGTGACCCGTGTCCCCTCTCTCCCCCCCCAGACATCGACGAGTGCCGGCTCAACAACGGCGGCTGCGACCACATCTGCAGGAACACGGTGGGCAGCTTTGAGTGCAGCTGCAAGAAGGGCTACAAACTGCTCATCAACGAGAGGAACTGCCAAGGTAGGGGGGACACGGGACCCCCGCACCCTGCCCTGCCCCAGGCTGTCACCTTGTCACCTCTCCCTGCCCTCCGGCGTTTCCCAGCCCTCCCACGGCCCCCGGAGCAGCGCTGGCCCGGTTTTCCTCATTCCTCTTTGCTTTCCTGCAGACCACGCGCATCCTGCGGGGGATTAGCGCTGGGTTTGGGTTCTGGCCTGGAGCTTTGATCTGCAGTGCTGTGGTCCCAGCTCCGCTCCCGTGCTGGGGATTTCGAGGCTCTTCTGGCAGCAGAGTTAAAGCCAGAAATTTGGCAGGTGCTGGGTGACATCCTCTGGCCTTAATTGGGGACGATGGTCATGATGTCCCTCACGGGTTGGGACCCAGCTCTGCTGGGACACTGGGGCATCCCCTGCAGCGAGCACCCCGAGCCTGGGCTGTCGGCTCCGGAGCACCCATACCAGGGATTTTGGGGACCCCAGCAGCACCCCATGTGTCCTGGGAGGGCACCCTGAGTTCAGCACCCACCTTGGCACTTCTGGGCTGCTCCTAAGCTGCTCTGCTTGATTGCATAAAGTTTTTGGTAGCAGTCCCACAGTGGCACCACCATAGCTCCCTCTAAAGCACCTTTTTCTCCCCATCCTGACATCCTCCTGCACATCCCACATAAACCCAGCAAGTTTTCAGGAGCCAGCAGGTCACTGGGCCATCCTGGGGGAAGCAGGGGGCTCTGTCCCCCATCCCAGCCCATGACCAAGGCACCGCGGGTGTGCGTGTGAGCCTGAGCGCTGCCTCCCAAAAGCTCTTGGCCGGGGAAGGAGGGGGCTGGCGCGCTCCAGGGCCGCGACCGCTTTCATCTCAGTCCAGGTTCTGCGCTCATGGGAGTTTGACGCGAGCGTGGCAATTAACTTAATGAAGCCAATGAAATGATGCTCAAAGCCGCCGGGGTGGGTTCACCCACCCAAGCCAGGGCCTCCCTGCCCTGACGAGGTGTCCCGTGGGGATGGGCAGATGCTGCTGGCACCGTCCCCAGGGCAGGACCTGCATGGGGCTGAGCCCCAACCAGGCAGCAGCCAGGGGCCCTCACAGCCACCCGGTGCTGAAGGCATGGTGCTGGCACCGTTTGAGGTGCGGAGGGGCTCTGGGGGGATGCTGGTGCAGTGGGTGTCTGCTCTTCCATGTAGCAGCAGTCGGAGTGGGTGAGGAGGGAGCTTGGGGGCAGGCAGGATGGGAGCATGGGGTCCAGGATAAAACCCTTCCAAGGGGATAAAAACCCTTCCAAGGGGATAAAACCAGCATCCACGTTGCGCCGGTGACCCAAAATTTGCCAGCTCCTGGTGGAGACGGGATCCGATCCCCCAGCATCCCAGTGCTGGGTCCTGGAGCATCCCAGTGCTGGATCTCCCAGCTTCCCAGTGCTGGATCTTGGAGCATCCCAGTGCTGGGTCCCCCAGCATCCCAGTGCTGGATCTTGGAGCATCCCAATGCAGGATCTCCCAGCATTCCAGTGCTGGATCTTGAAGCATCCCAGTGCACCCCCAGTTGCTGGAGCAGGAAAGGGACAGCCCTTGTGCCTAGGGCTGCCCCTTGGCTGTGCCAGCCCTCACCCCAAAACTTTACCCTTCCTGCAGACATTGACGAGTGCTCCTTCGACCGCACCTGCGACCACCTCCGCGTCAACACC